TAAAATTTTCCAGGCTGCAGTATTATTTTTAAAATTATATATAAATTTTGTTTATGTGGCTGTATTCAAGATACATTGTAGTTTCTTGAGAACAGACATAACCTCTATCAAAGTTTTCAGGGTGCTTAGAATAGTGTGTGGCATAGAGCAAAAACTCAGTAAATGTGTCTTATTTGTAGAGAGAAGGAATTATGAGGAGAATATTATTATACTGTTTTAATCCCAAATATTAATTTTTCAAGGGTGATGTGTATGCCTGTTGGAGTGGAGAGGGTGGTATTCATGGCAGAGTGGTCACATGCTTAGGGCATATTCTGGGATGTGCATTTCAGTTAGTGTGGCTGGAACACAAGATGCAAGGCGAGAAGGACTTATGATACTGTCAGGCTGGAGATATAAAGCAAAGAATTTGAATAGCATATTAAGAACTATGCTTTTAATCTTACAAGGAAAAGGGAGCCACAAATAGGGTTATTCTCATAAAGGAAAAACAGAACTAGGAATAAGAAAAGTAGGGTATGTGAGACATTAACTATAAAATAAAATGGGCATAGAGTAAGTACTACTGACTCCAGCAACCAGGAAAAATTGGGCAGGTTCCAGGAATATACTAAAGTGGAAGCCTGGGACTGTCTAGTTTCAACATAACACACAGGTAAGAGAGTGAGCTTTAGAACGGTTGACTTTCAATGGACTTCTGACTCTGATATTCTCTAGGTCTGAGAATGACCCTGGACAAGTTTCTTAATTACTCCAAAATTTAATTTTCTCACCTGTGATTACAAAGCCACCTCCAGGGATTGTTGCAAGGAATTAAATGAAATGATGCAGACAGAACACAGTACAGTTGTCTGTGGTACTTGCCAAGCATTCTGGTTGGGCATTTTTGCGGTGGGGAAAGAATAGACATCTGACTCTGTTCATTCCTGTTTCCGAGTGGCTCTCCTATTGCAGGTTTACCTGCTACCAGTGTCTTTCTCAAGGGATTGTAGCATTTGATGAAACCACAGGTTTGTTTAACTGACGGAGCTTTTTTTCTCCAAAGACAAATTAAGCAATGACAGAGGTACAAATGTGTTGAGCATACTTCAGTTTCCAGTATGGAATGCTGTCAGAAATTTAATTGTTATTTTTTACTTAATCAGTGAGGGAAAAAATCAGGCAGAACTGCCCGGCAAGCACAGTTTATTTTTGTTTGTTGAGTTTCTTCATTCTGGATCCTTCCAGTGTCTCTCTCATCTGTCCTAAGCATCCTCCTTCCACAACTCCACATGCTCTTATGGGTCCTGTGTTTCTCCTACCTGAAAGGAAGTGATCTGAAAGGAAAATTTCTGAAAGCATATTATTGACTACTTTACTAGATATACATATATTTAAATTAAATGTTTTCATAGAAAAATGTTTAGCCAAGGAGAGACCTATCTACACTTATTCCATGAGTTCATCTAATCTATGACTTAACAGCAATCTATGTGCCGCTGGCATTCACGTTTATATTACCATCTCAGAACTCTCTCATGAACCCATACTGCATATTCAACTCCTTACTCTAGAGTATCCACTCCAAACTGTTCTCTTGACCTCTCCCACAATCCTGTTTCTCCCATAGTCTTTTCCATCTTAATGAGTGGAAATACTATCTTTTCAATTACTCAGGTCAAAAATCTCAAAGCCATCTTTGACATATCCTTATGCTCTATGTCTAGTCTGCCAGGAATCGTGTTGGCTCTGCCTTCAGAAGACAGCTAGAATTGGGTCTGCTTTTGTATTCATGGCTACGACCTTTATCCTTACCTGATTACTACAAAGCTTCCAACCCTTCTTTCCCTTTCCTCCTTCCTCCTCACTGTCCATAACATTTTCTCTGCTCGGTAACTGTATTATTTAAGTGTTTTCTGTTGCTGCTGTTACAAATCACCACAGACTGAGTGGCTTAAAACAGTGCAAATTTATTACTATACAGTTCTACAAATCAGACGTCTGAAACGGGTCTTGTTGGACTAAAACGAAGATATTGGCAGGCTGTGTTATTTCCTGGAGATGCTAGGGGAGCACCTGTTTCCTTTTCATTCTTATTGTTGACAATTCAGTTCCTTGTGGTTCTAAAACTAAGGTCTCCATTGTCTCATTAGCGGTAAACTAAGTGTCGTTCCCTGCTTTTAGAGGCCACCACATTCCTTTGCCACCGTCTTTATAGCCAGCAATGGCAGAGAGAATCCTTCATAGGTTTCATCTCTCTGACTAAGTCTTGGGTCTCCCTCTCCCACTTTCCACCTTCCTCACTCAAGTGATCAGCTTGGGATCACTCAGATAATCCATCTCAGGGCCCTTAACCTTAATCACACCTGTAAATTCCCTTTTGCCATGTAAGGTAATATAGTCACAGATCCCAGGGATTGGGATGTACACATCTTGGAAGTTTCGTTACTCTACCTACCATAGTAACTAAAGTGACAAATTTTAACTGTAAATCAGATCATACCACTCCTCTACTTGAAGACCTTCCAGTATCTTTGCATTCATTCACGGTGAAAGACTCAGCTTTTCAAGTAGCCTACAGAACACTCACTGAGATGACGCCCTCTCTGCGATTGGACTTTACCTTCTGCTGTACTTCACATTCATGGCAATCCAGCCACATCCCCCTTCTTCTAGTACAGACCCTGAGATGACGCCCTCTCTGTAATTGGATTTTACCTTCTGCTGCACTTCTCATTCATGGCAATCCAGCCACATCCCCCTTCTTCTAGTACAGACCCTGAGATGACGCCCTCTCTGTAATTGGACTTTACCTTCTGCTGCACTTCTCATTCATGACAATCCAGCCACATCCCCCTTCTTCTAGTACAGAACGCTCCCTGAGATGACGCCCTCTCTGTAATTGGACTTTACCTTCTGCTGTACTTCTCATTCATGGCAATCTAGCCACATCCCCCTTCTTCTAGTACAGACCCTGAGATGACGCCCTCTCTGTAATTGGACTTTACCTTCTGCTGCACTTCTCATTCATGGCAATCCAGCCACATCCCCCTTCTTCTAGTACAGACCCTGAGATGATGCCCTCTCTGTAATTGGATTTTACCTTCTGCTGTACTTCTCATTCATGGCAATCCAGCCACATCCCCCTTCTTCTAGTACAGAATGCTCCCTGAGATGACGCCCTCTCTGTGATTGGTCTTTACCTACCTTCTGCTGTACTTCTCATTCATGGCAATCTAGCCACATCATCCTTCTTCTAGTACTTTGATCACATCAGACGTATCCTCTGGTTAAGATCTTTGCACTGATTCCTGGAAAGAATACCTGGAATATTCTTTTTTCTGCCGTGTGTTCTTCAGATATGTGCATGGCGACTTCCCTCCCAAGTTTTGTTCAAACTTTATTTTCTATATAAGACTACTTTTACCTACTTCAAATCCAGATACTTCTATTTCTATCCTCCAAAGCATGCATCACTTTCAAAGGTACTATACAATTTACTTATTTATCATGTTTACTGTTGCTCTGTCTTCTCCTCCTGTAATGTAAGCTACATGAGGCCAGGGATGTTTCTATTATTCACAGGATGATTATGGCTTCATTGTGCGAGGTTCACAGTAGATTTTCTGTAAGATTTTTTTTTCCACAAAATTTTTATTTTTATATTTATTTATTATACTTTAAGTTCTGGGATACATGTGCAAAATGTGAAGGTTTGTTACATAGGTATACATGTGTCATGGTGGTTTGTTCTACCCATCAACTTGTCATCTAGATTTTAAGGCCTGTATTCATTAGGTATTTGTCCTAATGCTCTCCCTGCCTTTGCCCCTATCTCCAACAGTCCCCCGGTCTGTGATGTACTCTTTCCTGTGTCCATGTGTTCTAATTGTTCAACTCTCAATTATGAGTGAGAACATGCAGTGTTTGGTTTCCTTTTTCTGTATTAGTTTGCTGAGAAGAGGTTTCCAGTTTCGTCCATGTCCTTGCAAAGGACATGAACTCATTTGTTTTTATGGCTGCATAGTATTCCATAGCATATATGTACCGCATTTTCTTTTTTCTTTCTTCTTTTTAAATTGTACTTGAGGTTCTGGGGTACATATGCAGATCATGCAGGCTTGTTGCATAGGTACATACATGGCAAGGTGGTTTGCTGCCATCATCCCCCCATCACCTATATCTGGTATTTCTCCCCTCATTATCCCTCCCTATCCACCACTGTCCCTCACATAGCCCCCCAACTGACTGCAGTGTGTGATGCTTCCCTCCCTGTGTCCATGTGTTCTAATCATTCAACACCCACCTGTGAGTGATGATAACATGCAGTGTTTGGTTTTCAGTTCTTGTGTCAGTTTACTGAGAATGATGGTTTCCAGATTTATCCACATAAATGTTCTAAAATGACCCAGTAAATGAAGAACAGTCTGATTGCGGCATTAAAGATACTAGTAGCTATAATGGAGAATTTTGTTGATATTTTTGCCTGTTCTGTTACACACATGGTCAGGTACGTGTGCTTCGGTTACACAATGTTGAATTCAAATATGATTACTAATTAAAGAGAAAATTATAATGCTATAATATCAATACAAAATTTCAAAATGAATGATCTTTATAAACTTTGTACATATATATGTGTGTGTGTGTGTATATATTGCATTCTCCATTACCTTCATACATAAATTCTCCTTGGCACTCTATGGGATGGGTTTTACAAAATCTTTCTTCTCCAGGCCATTAAAAATGTTTTCAGTTTGGTCTTCATATGTAAAGTGGCGCTTACAAAGTCTTAAACGATCTGGTCCTCACTCTCTGCAACATCTCTCACCTGCCTGTCCTATCAAAACGTGTAATTAAAAGAAAAAGTGCTCATCACTTACTCCACATTTCATAACCTTGATTGCACTTAGTTCTGTCTTGACTGGAGGATGAACTTTTGCCATTTTCTTCTGCCTGTATGCAGCCCTTGCTCCTGCCCCCTTCACCTGGCTGACCCATATTCATTCTGTCGTTTTCAGCTTCATGACACTTTCATGGAAGTCTTCTTCCCTGACTCTGGATATCTGGGTAAGATACCTCTTTTATGTGTTCCCATAATCTCTACATTTTCCCTAGACTACCACTTTGGAGCTGTATTATTTTATTTTCTAGGTTCCCTCCACTAGGCTAACAGCTCCATGAGAGCAGGGAATATGATATTCTCTTTTACCAATGTACTCCCAGTGCCTAGCAAAGTATCCTGCACATGAATGATCAATATGTGTTTGCTATGAAGTGAATTGTGTGCCCCTTCCCCATTGATATTTTGAAGTTCTAACCCCAATGTGATGGTCTTAGGAGATGAGCTCTTTGAGAGACAATTAGGTTTAATGAATCCTCATGATGGGATGAATTCACTTATAAGCAGAGATGTCAGAGAGATTGCACACTGTCTCTCCCTCTATATGAAAACTCTCTCTCTGCCATGTGCAAACACAGTGAGAAAGTGGCTGTCTGCAAGTCGGGAAGAGCCTTTGCCATAATTCAACCATGCTGACACCCTGGATTCACAGTCTCTAGAAGTGTCAGAAAATGAATTGTTCTTGTTGAAGCCACCCAATTTATGGCATTTTGTTATGGCAGCTCAAATTAACTAATGCACATGTTTGATGGATTAAATGAATGACTAAGTAAACGAATGACTGATTATTTGACTGTGATAATTATCTTGTGATCCTAGGCCACTCTGGTGTCTTAGTTGGCCTGGTATTTTTGAGCCTGTAATGTTATATTTTCTTGCTTTTTACTTTCATGGACATTTTCTTGATCAACATGATATGATGGTCCTAAACTCCAGGTCTTCTAGTACATAACAAGACTTTCAGTTTAATGTTAGAAAGGTATTTTCCAAGCTCAATTTAAGAAGAACCAGATATCTGGGTATAGAAATATTGACACTATGAAATCCAAAATTGTTGACTCTTTAATAACTACTGCTATGATCACATTAATTATATTAAAATAAATAAATCAGTTGTTTTCACTAGCTAGAAAACAACTGATAGAAGAAATAAGAGGTATTTCATATACGTGAAACAAAGGCATGGAGAAAGTAGAGCGTTTACATGCCGCAAGAGGTAAATGTATTTGTGGAATAGTAAATGGAGAAAGATTTTCTACTCCTGGTGGATTTGGGGAGACAGAAAGCTTTTCAAAGGCAAATGCCTGCTGTGTATAAATATGAATAACATCTTCAAGAAATTAAGCTTCTTTAGTTAAGAAGTCACTGTGATGTTAGGTAAAAAGGATTTGTCTAATGTTCAGAATATCTGAATTTTTGTTATGCAGTTAGGAAGTGGTGATCTACTAATTCCTCTAAACTCTGGGAGACATTTTTTTCCTGTTTAAATATATATCTACATCAGACAGCTTTTTACTGTGGCAAAGAGGACTTCTGCTATTGCATGTCTGTGAACTGGCAGTGACTGGGCTGGGCTCATCTGAGATTGGCAGGGCTTGGCTCTATACCAAGTACTGTCTCTTTCTGGAACATGGGTGGAAGGAGGGCTCCCTATTGGGCATGCTGTTCTCAGGAGGGCAAGCAAAGCTTTGGGGCACTGCTTCTGAAAACCTCTGCTCACAATCGGCAACTGACACCTGTACACACTCTCCACTGTTGCAGGTAAGTCACATGGTCAAACAGAAAGTCTGAGGTTGGTGATACATTGTACTTTGCCTACTAGAAGGAGAAAAATTAATGGAAACAATAATTCAATGTACCACACTACCTCATTGAGTTGTTGAGTGAATTAAATGTGTTTATTATATTTTTTGTGAACACTAAAGATCTAAGCATAGGTATTAGCATGAGAAATAAAAGAGAGTTACTTTAGCCAGTGGGACATAATTGTAGACATTAGTAATCAGTTACAGAAGGCTAAGAAGCAAGGGAATAATAACTAGAAATATTGATAATTAAACTTACTACATTTAAAATAAAAGATGGAAGAAATAACATAGCTTGCAACAGTCCGGTGAAGAATTTCAGATATGAGGGACTTTATTATAAACATTTTCTAATATGGCCTAAGTGTATTTTACTAAAGTTATGTTTACTCGTAAATATTATGCAATATATTCTAACAGTCAGACATTATAGCAAAAATTTTTTTGTTGTCAAAATTTTAGATATGTTCTTATGTGTAAAAATGTTTCTTTTTGAATAAGCAGGGAACAAGCACTGTGTAACCGTGTGCCTAGTTGGTATTACAGTATAATCTTAGATATTTCTCTGATGCCAGTCTCTGGGAAAGTAGTAAATTTTACCAAACATATATGCTCTAGTGCAGGAGGCTCTGGATCCTTGTACCATCAATCATCCACTTAATCTTTATTAGTGCTAAGGGAAGGGAAAAACCTCCCCCCAATCAGTGTTTCTTTCTCCATAGCAACATATTACTCTTCAATGATGTATCTGGGTCCTTGCCAGCTCTATGTTTTTCCTTTGTTAATCAATGACAGCTTGTTATGTTGCTCAGGTTGGCCTTGAACTCATAGCCTTGCCTCCTCAAGCGCCAGGACAACTGGCCGGAGCCACCACGGCCCCCAACTCTGTTTTTTCAATCCTTCGTTTGTTCCTCAATTCATTGTAGTCTATTTTTTTCTCTGTCATTGATTCAAATTATTAGGATGGATATTGCTGATGATGTCCTAATATTAAATGCAATGGAAAATATCCAATACCCGTATTACTTTGACCCCTCTGATATTTGACAGTATGAGATACTCTCTTTTGAACTCTCACTTTCTTTGGCTGATGTGGCAGCTAACCTCCGGTTCCCCATACACCTGAAAGATTACTCCATCTTTTTCTTCACTGACTGTTTTCTGTCATCCTTCTATGACGTGGCATTCCTCAAAGATTCATCTTCAGATCTTCTTTTGTAAATGTTGTGCTCTTTCATTCATATCCTGGGTCTAACCGTAATGTTTCAGCTTGTATACCCAGTTCAAGTCAGTTTCTGAGCTCCAGATTCATTTCACATGTACCTGTCATTTTCACTTAGCCTACATGAACTTCAAGCTTGATGAGTTCAAATGGAAATCGATATTCTCAACACTCCTCTCTCTTCCTTTTTTTTCTCATGTTTTATATCTTAGTTAATACTGATGTTTAGAAGGAGCTCAGACCTCCACATTAAGTAGAAGTAGTGTGCAAGTCCCTTAACATAGTGTATTATTAAGATTATTTTTATTCATCATATTTTAGAGCCAATGGAAGTAGAGTGAAATCAATATACCTTTTGCTGAAGAATGTGGCAAATTCTAGAGTACCGGTTTTTTATTTGGGACATTATACTTAAAACTTAAGAATTATTGGCCTGGCATGGTGACTTATGCATGTAATCCCAGCACTTTGGGAGGCTGAAGTGGGTGGATCACCTGAGATTAGGAGTTCGAGACCAGCCTGGCCAACATGGTGAAACCCCATCTGTACTAAAATGCCAAGATTAGTTTCTACTAAAATACAAAAATCTCCACAAAAGTCTCTACTAAAAATACAAAACTTAGCTGTGTGTGGTGGCGTGCACCTGTAGTTCCATCTTCTCTGGAAGCTAAGGTCGGAGAATAGCTTGAATCTGGGAGGTGGATGTTGTAGTGAGCCAAGATCGGGCCACTGGGCTCCAGCTTGGGTGACAGAGTGAGACTCCATCTTAAAACAAAAAAAAAAAATTACACATATTTTCGAAATGATCTGGAAAAATGTCAGTCATATCAACATGAGAATGGAAACTTTTTAAAAAAACGTGTGTTTTAGCACCTAACGCATTGCCAATTACAATGCCACTAAAGAAATTAACTTTTAGCATCATTAAAAATACATTTATAGCAGTTTATATGGTATGAAATAACTTCAGTCTTGTATGTTTTCTTAAGCCTTAAACTATTAAACATACTTATACCTAACAAATACAAAGAACCACATAACATGACAAAAAAAGAAAAGATCAGCTTTCAGGGCATTAGTGTGGCAAAGCAGACTTTCATGAGTTCAATCAGAAAGGCATGTTATCCTTTGCTATATATTTTATGACACTGTGATTCATGGTTATGGAGGTGATGGATGAGGCAATTTGTTGATAAAGTAATTTAATAAAATTAATGAGAATAAGAAGATAATTTTCATTAGAAATGGGCAAAGACATGAAAAAAAAGGCTCACTAAAGTCTTTGAAAGACAGGAAAATATTATTTTAAGACTTCCTGGAGGCCAGGCTCAGTGGTTCACACCTGTAATCCCAGCACTTTGAGAGTCCAAGGCAGGTGGATCACCTGAGGTCAGGAGTTCGAGACCAGCCTGGCCAACATGGTGAAATCCTGTCTCCACAAAAACACAAGTTGAGTGTGATCACGCATGCCTGAAATCCCAGCTACTCGGGAGGCTGAGGCAGGAGAATTGCTTGAATCCAGGAGGTGCTGGTTGCAGTGAGCAGAGATCCTGCCACTGCACTGCAGCCTGGTGACAGAGTGACACTTTGTCTCCAAAAACAACAACAACAACAAAAACCCCAACAATAACAACTGCAACTTCATGGAGTAAGAATTTTCTAAAATACTCTATAAAGGGAAGTATAACCATTACTTTTTCTTTTATGTTGAAACTTATTTTTAAACTTGCTGCTTTTCTTACGAACCATTTTAGATTACATTCTACTTGCCCATAAAATAAAGAATACTAACAGGCTATTTTATACCTTGCAACATAAATGTACCTTAGCTTAAGCAAAACTTACTGGTAAAATCACCTAAAACTAAATAATGCACCAACTATGAGGTTTTAGGTGAAATAGCTTCCTGGAATTATACATTCTCAGGCACTACAAAAAAAAAAAGCATCTTGGCTTTGTAATATTTATCAGAATCATTCCTTCAATTCAGCATAGTATAAAGGAATAATTTGTTGAGATACAGTTGTCCACTTGAACAGCAATTCTATTGTCTTTTTGTCCTCTGGAATTCATTGACTACCTCCTTATGTCCAGAGAGGGTCATTATTTTCTTTTTTTTTTTTAATTGCATTTTAGGTTT